CACAATCATGTTTTTTTTTTTTTTTTTTCATTTGGAGGTGTGTATAGCGAACATAACAACACACACACACACACACATGCAACACAGACAGACAGACAGACACACGCACACACACACACAACCTCCTGATGAGTCGGTGAAAGTCAGACGAAACAGTCTGTTCGGCACAGTCATGCTAATTTTGAGTGTATAGCGAATATGACAACACACACACACAAACACACACACACACACACACACACGAACTTGGGGAGCAAAGAGAAAACGGGCAAACGAGAGGTGAGGAGGAAGAATGAAGAAGATGGCGACGACCAAGACGAACAAGTCTGAAGGGTATGGCTGCACGCACAAAAAAAAAAACATAAAGAAGAATGCGATTGAGAAAGAAATTCTGTGGACGATGGCCTGCAGCGCGAAGTTTTGGGGGAAAAAAAAAAACATAAAGAAGAATGTGATTGAGAAAGAAATTCTGTGGACGATGGCCTGCAGCGCGAAGTTTTGGGGGAAAAAAAAAAGAAAAAAAAAAAAGGACGTTCTTCGAGGTTCGTTAGGTCATTTGTCCCTTTCCCGATGCTTTCGTCTACAACCATCGGCTACAGCAGGCGGCATGTTAAAGATCCCCTTCTCTCCCCCAATTCCTCCTTACATCAACTTCCCGCGTCTCCTTCTTTCAAATCCTGCCTCCTCCTCCTCCCTCCTCCTCCAGTAGGCTGTCGATGACCTACCGTCTTCACCCAAATAGGAAGTCCAGTCACTATAGCTGTATTTGGTGCAAATTTCAGTCTAGATACAGCCATAACGACACGGCTGAAGGCAGTAGGAGAACTGTCCATGAGTTAACTACGTTGCCGATCCGACCAGTTGTTCTCTTTCTCCTTTTTTTGGTGGGTGGGGGGGGGGGGAGAATTGCATCTGTACCCCACTTAAAGATGGGGATACCCGCTTTACCCAGTCCCAGCACGAACTTGCATCTATACCCGGGGGCAGTCAACTTTGTATAGTACCCTCCTTTCCCCCTGTGCGATATTGTAGGTATACCCAATCCCGCAGGAAGTAAAGAAGAGATGGGAAGGACTCGTGTTCTGTCCTTTGGATAAAAAAAACATGTGGAAACAGGAAGTAAAGAAGAGATGGGAAGGACTCCTGTCCTGTCCTTTGGATTAAAAAAACATTTGGAAACAATGGTGATGTGCCCAAAAGCTTGTGTGTAATGGAATGGAAATTATGTTTTGGGGGAAGCAGTGCTCTATAAGTTTAAGTTAAACTTGTTTTGGTAGGTTTTGGGTATGCCATGATCTACAATTGGCAGTCCTGCAGGAGAGCAACTATATCTCTGTATGGTACCAAGAATTACGACAATGTTCAGGGATGCTGGACCCGGTTTCCAGCAGGTGCTGCTGGTCCCCATCAATAGATGGAGCCTCCCGAGAATGCTAGGGGTGCCTGCTCTTATCAGCACCCATAGCATCCACCTGCAGTGGGTGATTTCCTCCCCCCCCCCCAAAAAAAAAAAGAGTCTTTCGAAGCAGCCTGGAGACAGGAGGAGGAAGTGATGGGGCAAGCAAAGAGGGAATTCGTGGAAAGGGGTTGACGAAATTGGGAAATGGGGAGAACAAGGGAACATGGGGGAAAACTTATGAATTGCTGAAGCACAAGGATCACATGACAATTCCGCCCGAATTCGCCGTCGTTCCCTGAACCGACGAAGAAGGCCAACCAGCGGGTGGCCAAGGCGCTCCAACTTCCTTCTGTTGTCGTTGCCAAAGGCACAACACTTCAATCTTTGTGCGACGAACACAACACTTTGTGCGACGAACCTGCTCAAGCTGAAGGAGGAACGGAGAGATGGCGCGGGTAGCTTTCGACATCAAAGAGATGTTTAGTTTGTTACCTCGTGACTTGATTAGCCATGTATGAGGATAAGGGAAGGAAATTCGTGAAGGTAAGAACAAGAGGAAAGGGAGCAGTGTTCGGGAAGAAGCAAGGAGAGAAGGGTTGGATGAAAGTCGAGTTCTTAGACATCAGACAGATGGCGGAATTTGATACGAGGAACACGTTCCTCAGTGACTCGGATCGACTATTGAGACAAAGTGAAGGAATTCCGATGGGTA